TACAATAACCATATTTTGGCGTGTTTGTGTTTTTCTTGAAATGACATAAACACCCCCGGGGCCCTTATGACCCGGCCCAACTTACTTTGGCCTCTTTAACATTTAACCAAATCCGAACGCACTCTGTGGTTCATTTCTTTCACAAGCGGCTAAAGATTTCTCTCTCTTCAGCTAGGGTTTCAGGTCTCTCCTCTCTCTCTCCCCCTGTTTATATGTATTAATGTTATGAACCGAAAACCTGAGGATTTTTACTTGTTCGCAGTAAGTTATCCATGGATCTATGAAGTTCGCATTTTTTCATAATTTTTCACGCCACAATTTTAGCTCTTCCGTCTTAATGTCTTATATATCAATTGTTTGGGTCTTTGCTAGATTAAATGTATATTGAATGCACAAGGCTTTTTTATTATTATTATTTATTTACTAAAAAAAATAAATTTTCTCTCGTTGCGTTGGTATTTATTTATTTATTATTATTATTTCGTGGACTATATATTCGATTTTGAGTCGCTTGATTCTGGACTTTGGAGCCTTTCATTTTTATTATTTTCAGAAACCTTAGAATGAGAATAATATAGTGGATAATGTTATATTGGTCTACTTTAGCAGGGTGTTTTAATTGAAGATGTCTCGCGTATACGTTGGAAACTTGGATCCGCGAGTAACTGAACGAGAACTTGAGGATGAATTCCGCACTTTTGGAGTTATCAGAAGGTGAAAAACTAGAGTTTTTATTATTGTTTGTAACTGGGAATGTTATTTATATAAAAGAAACTAGACTCTTTTAAGGAATTTCTGTATTAGATTGGCATATGTTCCCCTTGACTATGCTAAAATAACATGAAGTTATCATGGGGTGTGGAGGTTTCACAGTTCTGGTAGAAACATTCATATCTTAATTATGAAAATCATTATCAGACATGATGTTATCGAGGCTATCATTTAAGTAGGTAGGATCACTTTTTGGCATACTGTTCCCTCTATTGTTACCTATAACACTGATGTTCTTTACGTTGACGGGTTAATAGTCGATTGCTTCTGTCTGTCAAAATAAGAATTCTCATACCTGTCATAAGAGTGTGTTTTCTTTTTCTTACATAAAACTTATTGAATTCATTATCTCGCACATCAAGAAGATAGTCTGTTTGTTATAATGTTATTATAAACTGTTGAAAAACAAATATCTTTTACCAGAAGAGATATGATTGATCCTTGACTCAAAGGAAGTCAGCATGGATCACTGGATCTTCACATTTTATTCTACTAGAACGTTAGTTATTTTGCATGTTTTTCTTTTTTAAGTTTCAATATTTTGTGCAGTGTTTGGGTTGCAAGAAGACCCCCTGGCTACGCTTTCATTGATTTTGATGATCGAAGGGATGCCCAAGATGCCATACGAGAGCTAGATGGTAGGATTATTGAAATTTACATTGTGAATATATATTTATTATGGTCCAGTGATCATCCTATATTGAGGCCTGGAATTCATTTGTCTGGGTATGAGAAGATTCCTTTCTATTTGGTGGGTTTGTTTTCATGGGAATTAATGATGTCTACTTGATTTTACTTCTGCATTTCCAATTTGAACACACTTAGTTGTTTCACATTTTTTCCAGTACACAGTGGGACTGGTGTAGAACATCGACCTTCA